TATCAAAAATATACATCTTTGTTTTACTGTGGTTGCAAATATCAAAAAATTTCTATATGTGACACGGCACCAGAGTTAAGTTAGGGTTTTTCAAAATGCTGACACGCCGAGCTCAAAAGGTTCGCCATCACTGCTCTAGGGCAATATTTAAGTTGAGCACTTGTGGACTTAATTTTTTTACCCTTTCTCAAACTAAAGGTTCCCTCAGTTCGTGTAGAAATACATCTTCCAAGAGACCAGTCTGGGGAGGTGGACTTCAAAGCACTGGTTTTACAGTTAAAGGAGACCTCCAGCTTCCAGGGGCAAGCTGATATCCTCTACATGCTATATACTATGAAGTAAGTGATGGGTATTATCAATCTACTTTAATGTTCATATGGAGAGAAAGAATAGTATAGTAAATATAGCATAGCTTTGGAGTCTCACTGATCTAGATTTGAATACAGTTTTGTAACCTCAAAGCCTCGATTGTCCTCATTTATAAAAGTTGGATTATGCCTACCTCACAGGTGGTAGAAACATTTCTGCCTGAGAGGCAGGTGCAAACAATGGCTAAACCCAGTGACAGGGATGGAGATTCAGAATTGTGGCTGCTGAGGTCTGGTAGCCACCATTACTGGGATAGAACAAGGCCAAAAATGTACAAACAGGCCTGTCCCTGCCTATTCAACCCCCATCCATCCCAGCAGAGCCTAATGAAAGCACCTGGGACACCTTGAGTAGTACAGCACTTCTGGCAGCATCTTATTGCAAGAGCCCCACTGGGCCAGAGCCCCATCACCTGCCATATTTCCCCACAAGGGTGCTGCCCTGATACTGAGGGGACACCCCATCCCAGGGAAATGGGGGCATTTTCCTTAGCCAAGGCAACAGGCCCCACACAAATAACAGAAGCCTTAGCAGGGCAATAAGAAAAAATGAAAAATTGCACTACACCTAATGGAAAACAAATGAACAAACAAAAAACTCTCCTTCTCACCTGCTAAATAGTGAAGTGTCAGGTACTTCCTAAAAAGCAGATTTCATACCATATGACCCAGCCACCCCTCTTCTAGGTATCTACCCAAAACTGAATATATATGAATATATATATATGCCTAAGTGACTGTTATGACCAAAACAACTGGATGACTGGCCGGTAGCTATGAAGTGCACTGACCCAGACCTTGCTGCTGGGGCCCTGACAGCCCTGAATCTGGTTCACCCACACCCCGGACCCAGACAGGAGGGAGGAGGGAGCCCAATTCCTCGTGGAATCAGCTGTGCCTTAGCTTGTTGCTGGGGCCCTGACAGCCGCAAATCTCATTCACTCGCACCCCAGACCCAGACAGGAGGGAGGAGGGAGCCCAATTCCTTGCAGAGTCTCCATTGGTTAGCTTGCTGCTGGGGCCAACCTCCCACGGTCTCTCCCCCCGGCCGGCCGCCTATGGTTCCTCCCCCTGGCAGGCTGGCCCCCCTGATTGGTGCCAATCGCGGGCCAGGCCGAGGGACCCCACTCATGCATGAATTCGTGCACCCGGCATCTAGTTTATTCATAAAGATATATGCACTCCTATGCTCATTGCAGCATTATTCATGGTGGCCAAGACATGGAAACAACCCAAGTATCCTTTGGTAGATGATTGGATTTAAAGAATGTGGTATATATATATAATATAATATTGATCATCTATAAGAAAAGATGAAATACTGCCATTTGTGACAACATGGATGGACCTTGAGATTGTCATGCTAAGCGAAATAAGTCAGAAATAAGAACCACATGATTTCACTCATATGTGGGATATAAAAAAACTGAAAGCAACAAATGAACAAACAAGACAATAAAAAACAACAACTCATAGGCAAAGATAGCAGTATAGTGGTTACCAGAGGGTAAGGGGAGTTGGGACAGGTATTAAAGGGTAAAGGGGGTCAAATAGATGGTGGTGGAAGGAGACTTGACTTGGGGTGATGAACACATGGTACAATATACAGATGATGTACAATAGAATAATTGTACATTTGAAACCTATATAATTTTATTAACCAATGTCACTCCAATAAATTTAATTTTTTATAAAAGCAGATTTTATTCCTGTAAATACCTAAGCTAAGAAAGAATCCATCAGACACCATGAATAACCAAGGTAACATTGTAGTTCAGAAAAAAAGAGAAAAATATCCAGAAATTGAACTTAAAGACATGGAAATATGTGATTTAAATTACCAAGAATTCAAGATGCAGTTCTGAAAAAAAAACACACCTCAAAATAAAAGCTCAGCAAGGTACTATAATGAACTCAGAAATAAAATCAATGAACTAAAGGATTGCTTTACCAAAAAGATTGAAACTATTTAAAAAATGGAAATTTTGGAGGTGAAGAACTCAATAAAAGAGATGAAGAATGAACTAGTCAGCATAGGAAATAGAGCAAACCAAATGGAGGAAAGAATTAGTGATATCAAATATAGAAATCTAGAAATGACTAAGGTGGAAGAAGAGAGAGATTTGAGAGTTAAAAAAAGAATTCTATGAGAACTATCTGACTTCATCAGAAAGAGCAATGTAAGAATAACAGGTATAGCAGAAAAAGATGAATGGGAAAATGGAACAGAGAGCACATTTAAACAAAATAATCAATGCAAACTTCCCAAACCTATGGAAACAACTAGATTCTCTTATAGAAGAAGCAAACAGAACACCTATATATCTCAAGCCAAAAGTGTCTTCTCCAAGGCAAATTATATTAAAACTGTCAAAAATTAATGACAAAGAAAGAATTCTCAAGGCAGCCAGGGATAAAGATGTGCTCCCTGTGTACAATGGGAAAAGAGATGTACATAAATGCCCCTATTATGCTGCTACTAGTAAACAAGACAAAGGTAGCCTGGAGGGCAGCAACTGCCCCTTCTGAATAGTTTTGGCTGTGCTAAGCAAGCCCACCCTCCAGTTCATTCTGACCATCAGTGTGGCGCTAGCTGCTAGCCTCTTGGCCTGGTGCTACAAGTGAAGAACCCATCATACACCGTTGGTGGCCTACTCCTGAATGAATGTTTGCCCACCCCCACCTCCCCTGTGATAAAACCACCAGCTCAGGTGACTTTTTAAATGCTATATTTGAGAAAACAAGGAACCAATAAAAGCCAGAAGCTAAAACCTCTGCCGGTTAGTATCCTCTGGTCCAGGTGCTTAGCTGGCTATAGGCCCACCCTCCCTGCAGCCCCTAGGCCAGGGGTGGGCAAACTTTTTGACTCGAGGGCCACAATGGGTTCTTAAACTGGACCGGAGGGCCGGAACAAAAGCATGGATGGAGTGTTTGTGTGAACTAATATAAATTCAAAGTAAACATCATTACATAAAAGGGTATGGTCTTTTTTTTTTTTAGTTTTATTCATTTCAAACGGGCCAGATCCGGCCCGCGGGCCATAGTTTGCCCATGGCTGCCCTAGGCTGTGGCACAGGGAGCAGCCAGTGCAGCTCAGCAGACTGGCCTAGGTCTTTGGAACCAGCCCTGCTCCTGGGGTGCCCACACCTCTCACCCTGAGGCTGTTCCCTTTGTTCTTCCTGTCATATAAACATTTAGGTTGGCATTTTCCCCCTGCTGCGAGTGAGCAGACAGCAAGGCTAGGCTTCAGTAGCTCAATGGGAGGAAGGCGGGCCTTCCTAGATGCTCCTGCTCTGCTGCAGGGCCTTTCCTGGGTATAGAGGGACAGAAGCCATGCTGTCACCCTGCCTTCGAGGCCCTGGGTGTTCCATCCTTGGTAGCCAGTCCTCATCCCTCTCCAGCAAAAAACCTCAAAGAAGTCTGTGTCCATCCATGGCCTGTCTCCTCTTCTGACCTGTTTCATGCTACAGCACTCAGTAAAGCGGACCCTGACATTTGCCTCCCTCAAACATAGACCATATATTGGGACACAAAACTAGCCTGAACAAATTCAAGAAGATTGAAATCATGTGAAGCATATTCTCTGACCACAAGGCTTGGAAATTAGAAATCAACTGCAAAAATGAAGTAAAAAATAAAACAAAAATATGTGGCAATTAAACAACATGCTGCTAAACAAAGAAAAAAAGAAGAGATAGAAAAAAATAAAAGGGCCCTGACCGGTTTGGCTCAGTGGATAGAGCGTCAGCCTGCAGACTCAAGGGTCCCAGGTTCGACTCCAGTCAAGGGCATGTACCTTGGTTGCGGGCACATCCCCAGTAGGGGGTGTGCAGGAGGCAGCTGATCGATGTTTCTCTCTCATCGATGTTTCTAACTCTCTATCCCTCTCCCTTCCTCTCTGTAAAAAATCAATAAAATATATTTTTTTAAAAAAATGAAATAAAATAAAAGGATTTCAAAAGATATATAGAGATAAGTGAAAATGATAGTATGACATATCAAAACTTGTGGGATGCAGTGAAAGCAATATAGAGAAGTTTGTATCATTACAGGCCTACCTCAAGAAACAATAAAAATCTCAAATAAACAACTAAACATTTCACCTTAAAGAACTAGAAAAAGAAAACAAACAAAGCCCAAAGTCAGTAGAAGGAAGAAAATAATAAAAATTAGAGCAGAATTAAACAAAATAGAGAACAAAAAGACAATAGAAAAATTAATGCGACAAAGAGCTGGTTATTTGAAAGGATTAATACAATTGACAAAGTTATGGCTAGAATCACTAAGGAAAAAAGAAAAAAAGACTCAAAGTCAGAAATGAAAGAGAGGGAGAAATCCGGTGAGCCTTGCTTCCTGCGGTGCTCTGTTCGGGACACATGGAGATCAGCCGTGGTGCTGGCGGTGGCCCTGGCAGACTGCCATTCAAGAAGGCGGGCGTGAGTGGGGCCTTTGGATCTGAACTGTTGAGCTGTTTCTAGGGCCTTGGAATGACTTGTACTTGAGCCTGTGCATGCACCAGCGTGCTTCCTGCTCCACCTCCACCAACAGCAGCTCTTTGGAGGCTGCGGGGAGCACCAGTGCATAGAGGGTCTGGAGTAGCTTCCGGAACAGCTCCCTGCCACCCAGACCATCATGGCAGCTCGCCTGGTGAAGCGATGCCAGTGCCTCCTGAGAGAGTCTGCTCATCTAGCCCCTGCTGGGCTTCCAGCTGGCCAACTGAGACTGGCTAGGGTAGCCCATAAGACTCTAACTTCCTCAGCTACCTCACCCATTTACCACTTCCCAGCTTCCTTGTCACAGCGCCTGGAGAAGGAACAAGCGTTTACCCCCTCCCCAGAGTGCCAGGAGGTGAACGAGCTCATCAAGAAGGGCACGAGGCCAGAGGAGCTCCTGGAGCTGCTTGGTGGTAGCCATTGCCTGCACTAGAGCCATGCGGCCCTTGTGCTCATCAAGCTCTCTCAGCTGCTCTCTGAGAAGTCAGAGGACAAAGCCTAGCTCGCTCATACAGGATGCCTGCTTTCAGCAACTTCTCCAACTTATCAACAGTCAGATAACCGTGGTCTGGCATGGGACCCTTCTGAAGCTGCTCTGGAGCTTCTATGCACTGGCACTCCCTGCAGCCTCCAAGGAGCTGCTGTCAGTGGAACAGGAGGTACACTGTCATGTGCACAGACTCAAGTACAAGCACCTGGCCTTACTGGCAGAGTTCAGCACCGCCTACATGTAGGAGTAGGGCTCCTAGGAGCTGCTGGCCGAGCTGTTCCTGAACCTGGAGTAGTGCTGGGCAGAAATCGAGGATGGCCGCACGCTGGTAGCCCTCATGATGAAGACAGGCGTCATTGATGAACAATCTGGAGGACAAGTGCCTGGATCTGGTAGAGCAGTTCGGCCCTGACGAGCTGGTGGCGCTGGCAGCTCAGAACCAGCAGTCGTGCCCTTGCTGCGGGCCATCTCCTTCCACCTGTCCAGAAGCCCTTCCCCCTGATCAAAGGCGTCCTCCTGGACCTGGCCTTTGCCTATGGCAAACTTGAATTCCACCAGACCCAGGTGTTCCAGTGCCTGGCCGCTGAACTGCTGCCCCACATGCCCAGCCTCACGTCCGGCGAGGTGGCCAGATGCACCAAGTCCTTCGCCATCCTCAAGTGGTTCAACCTGCCCCTCTTTGAGGCCTTTGCCCAGCACATCCTGAGCAGAGCCCAGAGCATCCCCATGCCAGACCTCTGCAACATGCTTCTGGCCTTCTCCTGCCTGAACTTCCATCCAGAGCAAGCCTGGTGCATGAGAAGCTGGGGTATCAGCAGGCAGACCTGGACCTGGACCTGCAGGTGGACATGCTGTGGGCACTGTGTGTGCTGCAGCAGGCCAGTCCTTCAGAGCTCCAGGCCGTGCTCCACCCCAAGTTGCCCACCCAGTTCCGAGGTGATGGGTCCCCAAAGGGTCAGAGCACCTTTCAGAAGCTGCTCCACCTCAATGCCACTGGTCAGCTAGAGCACCCTGAGTACATGGGCCCCCTGCTGCTGGCCTCGGCCTTGGTCCCCAGGCCCCCAGCCCCTGACAGGAAGGTGATGTCTCTGCAGAAATAGCTGCATGAGACCCTGAAGGGGCTGCTGGGGGTCACTAACGGGCCACTTTACCATGGCTATGCAATATGGCTGGGTTCTTGACACTGAGGTAGTGCTGGACACTAAAGGCCAGTTTCTGCCCCTGCAAGACTTTGTGGTCCCACATCTCACCCCACACTCCGGCAGCCAGCTGCTGGCCACCAAGGCCAATAGGCTGTCCTTCCTGCACTGGGAGTTCCCTAACTTCAATAGCCAGAGCAAAGACTTGCTGGGGCGTTTTGTGCTTGTCCAGTACCATGTGCTGGCCACTGGATTCCTGGTGGTGGACATCCCATACAAGTGGCTGGAGCTCAGGTCTGAGTTGCAGAAGGGCGCCTACCTCAAGGACAAGATGTGCAAGTTGGTGGCAGAGGAACTGGCAAAGTGACCTGCCCAAACACAGACTGTGCCCAGGGGCCAGGCTTCCCGGAGACCTAGCCGAGGACCCCGGGCCGCAAGAGGTGACATTCAAGGATAGACAGTGCAGGGCCTTGGTCAGCAGCTCTGCGTGGCAGATTACCCTCTTGTGGGTAATAAATCTTTAACTTTGGTTTTCAACACCAAAAAAAAGAAAGACAGAAATGAAAGAGAAGCTACAAGGAACACCACAGAAATGCAAAACAAAACAAAACAAAAAAATGACACAAGAATGCTATGAAAGACTCTATCACCAAACTTGAAAATGTAGAAGAAATGGACAACTTCTTAAAAATATATAACCTTCCTAGACTGAAAGTCCAAGCATTGGTAACTCTAAATAAACTAATCAATAGTAAGGACATTGAAACAACCATCAAAAACCTCCAAAAACAGGTGAAAATCCAGGACTAGACGGCTTCACTAGGGAATTCTACCAAGCATTCAAAGATTTGATACCTAGCCTTCCCAAACTCTTCTAAAAAAATAGAAGGAGCTGCAATACTTCCTAACACATGTTATGAGGCCAACATTTCCCCAATGACAAAACCTGGCAAAGACAACACACAAAAGGAAATTACAGACCAGTATCTCTGATGAAAATACAACAATACATTAAAAAAATACATTATGAATAAGTGGGGTTCATTGCAAGGGTACAAGGATGCTTCAACATACACCAATCAATCAATGTGATATACCACATTAACAAAATAAAAAAATCTTATGATCATATCAACAGATGCAGAAAAAGCATTTGACAAGATACAACATCCATTTATGATGATAACAATTAATAAAATGGGTATAGAAAGTGCCTCAACATAATAAAGGCCATATATGACAAACCCTCAGCCAGTATCATACTCAATGGTGAAAAACTGAAAGCTTTTCTTCTAAAATCAGGAGCAAGACAATGATGCCCACTCTCACCACTCTTACTCAACATAGTTCTAGAAGTCCTAGTCAGAGCAATCAGGCAAGTGAAAGAAATAAAAAAGCATCCAAATTAGGAAAGAAGAAGCAAAAATGTCACTTTTTGCAGATGACATGATTCTTTATATTGAAAACCTTAAGGACTCTACCAAAAACTATTAGAAACAAATACACTAACATTGCAGAATAGAAAATAGTGTTCAAAACTCCATTGTGTTCCTATATACTAACAATGAAATTTCAGAAAAAGAAGTGAGAACTACAACTCCATTTGGAAGTGCAACAAAAAGAATAAAATACCAAGAATAAATTTAACACAGGGCTTGAAGGACCTATACACTCAAAACTACAAGACATTATTAAAAGAAATTGAAGAAGACACAAAGAAATGGAAAGATATTCTTTGTTCATGGATGGAAGAATCAATATTGTTAAAAAGGCCATATTACCCAAAGTAATATACAGATTTAATGCAATCCCAATTAAAATCTCAATGGCATGTTTCAAAGAAAGAGTTCAGAAAATTATTACATTTGTATGGAACCAAAAAAGACCCCCAAATAGACAAAGTGATCCTGAAAATAGAGAACAAAGCCAGATATATCACTCTCTCTGACTTCAGATTATACTATAAAGCAACAGTAATCAAAACAGCATGGTATTAGTAGAAACACACATACAGATCAATGAAGCAGAATTGAGAGCCCAGAAGTAAACCCAGATATTATATACACACAATTAAATTTTGACAAAAGAGACAAAATCATACAATGGGGAAAGAAAGCGCCTTCAATAAGTGGTGCTGGAAAAATTGAAAAGGCACATGCAAAAAAAAAAAAAAGAAAGAAAGGAAAGAAAAGAAAAAAGAAAGAGAAGCCACATGCAAAAGAATGAAACTACACTATTTGTCACCACACACAAAAGTTAACTCACAATGGATCAAAAAGCTAAATATAAGACCTGAAACAATAAAATATATAAGTACTAAACTTATGGACCTTGGTTTTAGAGAGGATTATGTTATTTGGACCCCAAAGTCATGGGAAATAAAAGCAAAAACAAGTGAATCCTATATAATAAAAGCCTAATATGTTAAGTGTCCAACTGTTTGTTCGACCATTTGACCAGTCACTATGACGTGGACTGACCACCAGGGGGCAGACGCTCCAACCAGTAGGTTAGCTTGCTACTGGGGTCCGGCCAATGGGGACTGAGTGAGACAGGCCGGATACACCTTGGAACCCTCCCATGGCCCCTCCCTGGCCGGCCAACCTCCCGCAGTCCCTCCCCGGCTGGCCAGCCCCAATCAGAACTGGGTGAGACGAGCCAGACATGCCCTGGAGCACTCCCGTGGTCCCTCTCTGGCCCTGATCATGCACTTGTGGGGGTCCCTCAGCCTGGCCTGCACCCTCTCACAATCCAGGACCCCTCGGGGGATGTCCTCAGGCCAGGCCAAGGGACCCCACCAGTGCACGAATCCATGCACCAGGCCTCTATTGGGACTATATAAAACTAAAAAGCTTCTACACAGAAAAACAAAAAACAGTAACAAAACCAAAAGGCATCCAACCCAATGGGATACCTCTGATAAGCGGTTAATCTCCAAAATATGTAAAGAACTCATACAACTCAACAACAAACACACAAAGAAAGGACCCAATTGAAAATGAGCAGAGGATCTGAACAGTCACTTCTTCTAAGACATACAAATGGCTAACATATATAAAAAGATGCTCAACTTCACTAGTTATAAGGGAAATGCAAATTAAAACCAACTCACACCTGTTAAAATAGCTATTATCAACAAGACAAGAAATAAGTGTTGGAGAGATTGTGGGAAGAAAGGAACCCTCATTCATTGCTTGTGGGAATTTAAATTGGTACAGCTACTGTGGAAAACAGTATGGAGGTTCCTGAAAAAACCTAAGTATAGGGTTACCATATAATCCAGCAATCCCTCTTCTGGGTATCTACCTGAAAATTTTGAAAAAATTTATTTATAAAGATATATGCACCCCTAACTTCCCTGCAGCATTATTCACAGTAGCCAAGACTTGGAAACAACCTAAGTGTTCATTGATAGAGGATTGGATAAAGAAGATGTGGTACATATATACAAACAGAATATGACTTGGCCATAAAAGGGATGAAATCTTACCATTTGCAACAATACAGATGGACAATGAGGGTATTATGCTAAGTGAAACAAATCATAAAGAGAAAGACAAATACCATATAATTTCACTTATATGTGAAATCTTAAAAAATAAATAAATAAACAAGCAGAACAGAACCAGACTCAGATACAGAGAACAAACTGATGGTTACGAGATGGCAAGGGTGTTGGGAGCTAGGTGAAAAGTTGAAGGAATTAAGTACAAATTGACAGTTACAAAATAGTCATGGGGAAATAAAGTATAATGTATAGAATCTATATATATATATATATATACTAGAGGCCCGGTGCACAAAAATTTGTGCACTCGGGGAGGGGGGGAAAGGGGGGTCCCCCAGCCCGGCCTGTACCCTCTCGCAGTCTGGGACCCCTCAGGAGATAACGACCTGCTGGCTTAGGCCTGCTCCCGGGTGGCAGAGGGCAGGCCCAATCCCTAAGTGCAGCCCCTGGTCAGGCTCAGAGCAGGGCCAATTGGGGTGTTGGGGCGCCGCCCCGTCATGCACAGAGCAGGGCGGATTGGGAGGTTGCAATGCCACCCTCAGTCACGCTCAGGGTAGGGCCGATTGGGGGGTTGGGGCACCGCCCCCTGTCACACCCAAGGCAGGGTCGATGGGGAGGTTGCGGCGCCACCCCCGTCACGCACAGAGCAGGGCCGATCAGGGGGTTGGGGCGCTGCCCCCTGTCACTCACAGAGCAGGGCCAATCGGGGTTGGGGCGCTGCCCCCTGTCACTCACAGAGCAGGGCCCATCAGGGGGGTTGGGGTTCTGTACCCTGTCACACACAGAGCAGGGCCGATCAGGGGGTTGAGGAGCTCCCCCCTGTCACTCACAGAGTAGGGCCGAAAGGGGAGTTGGGGCACCGCCCCCTGTCACACAGAGAGCAGGGCGGATCAAGGGGTTGGGGCGCTGCACCCTGTCACACTCAGGGCAGGGCCAATGGGGAGGTTATGGCTCTACCCTGTCACACACAGAGCAAGGCCCGTGGAGGGGGGTTGGGGCGCCGCCACTGTCACACTCGGGGCAGGGCCGATGGAGAGGTTATAGCTCTACCCTGTCACACACAGAACAGGGCCGATCAGGGGGTTGGTGCGCTGCACCCTGTCAAACAGAGCCGCAGGGCAATCAGGGGATTGGGGAGCTCCCCCCTATCAGGCACAGA